CCAGGTAGATGGCCCTGAGATGTGGGGGTGGCAGCTTTGGCTGCATCGCCCACAGGCACAGTTCAGGGTGACACTGTTTCTCGGGATCCTGTGGTTTCAGGGGGATCCCTGCTGCTGGCTATTGCCTAATCCCTTTGTGGTTGCTAGTGGAGACTCAAGAGACCAGCAGCAAAGTCACCTTCTTTCTGGAGCGCTCTCCTGCTGCAGCTGATATGCACAAGGGGCCCGGGGAGAGTCAATAGGCTTTTCCAGAGCTGTTTATAGTGGACACTTCCTCATCTGTCCAAAAGATGACGTATTTCAGAAGTAAAAAGCAAAACAAGCCCCGTTGTTCCAGACCTCTCCAGTTTCTCCAGCCTGGGTCTCCTGAGTGTGATCCCTGCTGCCAGCCTGTGTCCACCAGCACCTTTCCAGCCTCGGGGCATCACTCTAGCATGGGAGCAAGGAGCTGCAGCCCCAGGGGACTCATTCTGAGAATTGCTCTGGAGAACATGGGGGTCTTGGGACCACAGTGCAATGTCTGCCTCCACGTGCAGGCAGCAGAGATGCCCCACACGCAAAAGCCAAAGCAGAGCTGTGGATGCAGCGGTTTTCCCTGCTGGAAGCTGACTACAAGTTCTTTTCACCCCTTAGTGGGGAGCAAACCCACCACGTTTGACCTTCAGCATCAGCCTTGTGTCCCCTGAAGGGGGGGCCATGCAGTGCTCAGCCTGAAGCAGAGCTCCCGCCGATGCAGGCAGCAGAGATGCCCCACACGCAAAAGCCAAAGCAGAGCTGTGGATGCAGCGGTTTTCCCTGCTGGAAGCTGACTACAAGTTCTTTTCACCCCTTAGTGGGGAGCAAACCCACCACGTTTGACCTTCAGCATCAGCCTTGTGTCCCCTGAAGGGGGGGCCATGCAGTGCTCAGCCTGAAGCAGAGCTCCCGCCGAGGGAGCTTCTCTCCCGCCGAGGGAGCTTCTTTAGAGGCTGAGCAGTGACGTTGGTGTGCCTCAGCCTCATTGTTCTGGATCCTCTGGCCTCTTGGCTGTCATTTCTCTTTCGCAAAGGAGCTCGCTGAAGGGTGGAGAGTACCCCAGCCCCTGCCCTGGGAGAATGGTGGAGGGGGAGGCTGCTGGGGGGGGTTGGCTGGTGTCCAGGGTGATGAGATGTGGTTTTCAGAGTCCTCCTCCTCAGTCACTCCTTAAGGACAACCACTATGTCATCTTCCCATCCTGCATCTCTTCTCGCATCTTCTCCCCTGCCCACCCTTTCTTTCTTGCTTTGAGCCACAGGGAAGGGGATCTAGAAAGGAATGAGCTGGAAGTTAGCCTAAGAAAACTCCCTGCAGCTGTGCTGTCCCCTCTTGTGGTGACCCAAGCCAGCTCCTGGCTCATCCCCAGCCCTTCCTGCCCTTTGACTGGACGAGACAAGAGGGGGTGTCATGCTAAAAATTCTTGCTTTGGGCAAAAGGGAAATGAATCCGAGAATTTATTATTAATATAACTGAAGTCTAAGCAGTCAAAGAGCAGTTTTTAGCTCAGATCTAGATTGCAGAAAAAGAAAATAAAGCAATGAATGTTGTTGGACAGTACCAGTAATACAGCTCTGCATTTGTTTAACTGGTCCTTGGGGAGCAGTTTCTTGCCTTGGGGTTCTCTGTGCATGAACCTCCACCTGCCCTGCCCCTCACCTAGTGTCCCCCTGCTCCCGTATCCCCCTGGGCAGCATCCCTGCAGGGGAGTGGTGAATGGATTAATCTGCTCAGAAAACCTGTCCTGTTACAGCTGTCTGTGCTCAACCTCAGTGTCTTGTACAGAGATGAGGAAAAGAATAATCGGTGAAGTGTTGCCACTTGGCTATTGGAAAAATGACTGAAGTCAAGCGAAAGCTGCGGGCAGACTGAAAGGAATTCAGGAGGCACAAAACCCACTAGCCTTTCTCCAGAGACCCTGTGAATTTTGTGCGTGGCCCAGGGTCTGACACAGGGCCTGTCAACACCTGCAGTGGCAACTGTGCCTCCCCCCGTCCCTGCCCTGGTGATGGATCTGCAGCCCCAGGTGGATGCTGCCGGGAGTGGGGAGGGGGAACTAGAGCAACCAAATGCACAACCAGTGTGAGAGCTGGTGGGTGGTTTTATTACACAACATCGAAGCAGTGCCATGAAAGTGTGACTCCCTCCCTCACAGGCATTTATCCCTACTGGAACAGGGATAAATCAGGTTTTCAGTGCTATCTTTTTAACCCTTTCTTGGCTGTTTCTCCTGCTACTTTCCCCCCAAAACCTTTTCCCCATTTTTCCCATCCATGCCAAGCATTATTTCTGCATTAAGTCCTCAGTGCATTGCGCCCGCCTGGCATGGTGACTGTCCTCGGGGCAAGGTGCTGCTGCTGGGGGGCTCAACCCAGCTGGGACCAGGCAGGGAAGACACCAGTGTCCTCTGGGGGTGAAGGCTGTGGTGATGGGGAGATGCATCCCTTGCAGGGAACAGACTTGGTCCCTGCCTCCACAGAGCGATGATGGGTCTGTCCCCTGCCTCCACAGGGTGACATGGGACGGTGACAGTTCTGCTAGCAGCTCCTTCCTGTGCCCAGGAAGATTCCCACGGCCATGCCCAGCAAGGCAAAGGTCCCCAGGATCAGGCCAAACACCAGCGGGGCAGGCGACCGGCTGCTCTGTTTTCCTGCAAGAAGCAAGAGAGATGGAGGTGACGACGGGGATCACCCCCACCACCCCACTCTGTGTCCCCCCCAGCCCCAGCACGGACCCGTCCTGGCACTCTGAGCCCGCAGGATGTCAACACAGGTGGTGTTGAGGAAATGCTGGAGGCCCTGAGTGGTCTGAGTGTACTTCATCAGCTCCCTCTCAGCAAAGGCAGCCACCTCGTGCCTGCCAGGCCAGCGCCGCTCCCAGGTGGCGTTGGGGACATGGAAGCTGAGGAAAGCCGTCCCATTGAGGGCCACCTCGTAGAAGCTGTGAGCCGTGCCGTTGGGGAAGAGGTGGCAGCCCAGGTGGCAGCGCAGGTTCTGGCTATCTGCAGGGATGGAAAGAGTATGTCAGGGTCAGCACGCTCCCACCTTCAGCAGCCCATTGCCATCACCAGCATCAGCCCGTGCACTGAGTTTGCAAGGCCTCAGCCTTGCACCACCCAACCCACCCACAGCTTTGTTTTCCTTTGGTTCAGCTGCAACGGCGACTTTTCCAATGGCTGGGCAGCCATGCTTATTTTTCCCTTTCTTATCTATGTACAGCACAGCTTTGGTTTTATACAGACAAGGGGGAGTTTTGGCACAGCGTGAGATATTAATTGCTCTTGTGGAAGGATGCAGCACAGGGAACACGTGGGTAATGGGTGCGTGGAGGCATGGGGCTCACACTAGAGAGCCTGAGATGAGAAAGTGCTCCTCAAGGGCCAGGTACAGAAATGCAGAGCTGGGGCAAAACTGATTTGGGGATAACAAAGGAAATGAAGGTAAAACACACCCTGGGCAGGAATATGAGAGGTAATGCAGGCTGGCAGAGCAATGCAGGCAGGAACACAAAACCATCACCATCAGTGTCCCATGCTTCCCACGAAGGCTGAGGGGTGCAGGATGCATGCAGGGTGCAAGCAGAGTGAAGGCAGGACACAGGCAGGGTGTGGGCGGGATGTAGGGGGGGTGCAGGTGAGATGCAGGCAAGGTGCCTACACCTCACAGTCCTCCCAGGCTGCAACTCCCAGACCTTTTCCTGAGGGGCAGCAGTGGGTTGAGCATCACCTTGTTCCCCGGGTAAGCTCCGGGGTAAGAAATTCCTGGCTCTGCAGAGGATTGCTTTTGCCCAGAACAAGGTGTTACACGTGGTTGTGTCCCTGTCCCTTTGCCCAGCTGTCTGTGGAGAGCTGTCCCCATTCCCAGGCAGTGCATGGGGGGTGTCCCTTCCCTAGCGAGACCCACCCCCCCCACCAAGCTGTGCATCCCCATCCCTGTGCCCCCCCTGGGGTACCACTCACAGTTCATGGGCCTCTCTCTGCTGAAGAGCAGCACCAGCTGGCCAAAATTCTCCAGGTAAGTGATCACGTCCTGCTGCCGCTTGGTCCAAACATCTGGAGGCTCCAGTGGTAGCACCTGGGTGACTTTAAGCCCCTCCAGAAGATGGCTGAGCTGCCCGTCCAGGCTGGCGTTGCCCCAAAAGGTGGAGCTGCCTTTGGAGACGTGGGTCCATTGCAGCATGGTGAAGGTGAGCGGGACTGTGAGAGACACCGGACATCACTCACTGCCCCATCCCCTCCCCGTAAGCCGTATGTGCCCCCCATGCCAACCCCAAAGTCTCTTCAACCCCACCACCGCCCCGTGTCCTTGCCTCACCCGCCTGGTCGGCCCCGCAGCGCCGGGCCCCGCAGAGGAGCAGCAACCAGAGCATTGCGGAGACTGGTGAAGGTGAGCGGGACTGTGAGAGACACCGGACATCACTCACTGCCCCATCCCCTCCCCGTAAGCCGTATGTGCCCCCCATGCCAACCCCAAAGTCTCTTCAACCCCACCACCGCCCCGTGTCCTTGCCTCACCCGCCTGGTCGGCCCCGCAGCGCCGGGCCCCGCAGAGGAGCAGCAACCAGAGCATTGCGGAGACAGAGATGGGGACAGGAATGGTGGCCCCACAGCTAGCCCGGCAGGGAGTTAAAGGGGACCGGGAAGGTGGGGCTGCAGGAG